GTAAAGTAGCAGGATAAAAAATAAATATCCAGAAATCAGTTACATTTTTATACACCAGCAATGAACTGTCATAAAGGGAAACTAAGAAAACAATCTCATTTACAATTGCACCCCAAAAATAAAATACCTAGGAATAAACTTAAGCTAGAATGTAAAAGGCTTATACTCCGAAAAGTATAAGACACCAAAGAAAGACATTGAAGACACTAATAAGTGGAAGCATATACCATGTTCATGGATTGGAAGAATTAACATCATTACAATGTCCATGCTATCCAAATCAATCTGTAGATTTCAGTGCAATTCCTACTGAAGATACCAATGGTGTATTTCAAAGATCTAGAACAAATATTCCAAAAAGTTTATATGGAACCATGGAAGCCTCTGGATAGCTATAGCGATCTTGAGAAAGAAGAACAAAGTGGGAGGAATCATGCTACCTGATGTCAAACTATACCACAAGGCTATAGTAATCAAAACAGCATGGTACTGGCATTAAAACAGACATATAGATCAATGGATCAGAACAGAGAGCCCAGAAATAAACCCATACCTTTATGGTCAATTAATATTCAACAAAGTTAGGAAAAACAAAAACAAAAAACAGAATAGGGTGAAGATAGTCTATTCAGTAAATGGTGTTGGAAAAAAATGTGCAAAAACAATGAAACTAGACCATCTTCCTACACCACACACAAGAATAAACTCAAAATAGATTATGGGCTTATATATAAGACCTGACACCTTAAAAATCCTAGAAGGAAACATAGGCAGTAAAATCACAGACATCTCTTGTAACAATGTTTTTGCTGATATATCTCTGTGGACAAGGGAAACTAACATAAATGGGACATCGAACTAAAATGTTTTTGTACAGCAAAGGAAACCATCGACAAAATGAGAAGACAACCCACTGAATGGGAGAACACATTTGCCGATACAGTTGATAAAAAGTTAATATCCAAAATTTATAAAGAACTTAAGCAACTTGACACCAAAATGACAAACAATCCAATTAAAAAATGGGCAAAGGACTGAATAGACACTTCTACTGATGGCCAAAAGACCTATGAAAAGATGCTCAATGTCACTCATCATCAGAGAGCTGCAAATGAAAACCACAGTGAGATATCACTTCATACCTGTCAGAAAGGCTATCGTCAATAAATCAATAAGCGTTGGTGAGGATGTGGAGAAAAGGGAACACTTGTGCACTGTTGGTGGGAATGCAGACTGGTGCAGCCACTGTGGAAAGCAGTATGGAGTTACCTCAAAAAATTAAAAATGGAACTGCCTTAATACCCGACAATTCCACTTCTGGGAATATACCCAAAGAAACCCAAAACACCAATTTGAAAGAATGTATACACCCCTATGTTCATCACAGTGTTATTTACAATAGCCAAGATTTGGAAGCAGCCCAAATGTCCATCAGTAAATGAGTGGATAAAAGAGCTGCGGTACATCTACACAATGGAATAGTACTCACCCATAAACATGAAGGAAATCTTACCCTTTGTGACAGCATGGAGGGACCTGGAGAGCATCATGCTAAGTGAACTAAGCCAGTCAGAGAAAGACAAGTACCTTAAGATTTCACTCATATGTGGAATCTAATGAACAAAATAAAGTAACAAATAAAATAGAAACAGACTCATAGCTCTGGCCTGGTGACTCAGTTGGCTGGAGCATCATCCCGTACACCTCAAGGTTATGGGTTTGATTCCCAGTCAGGGCCCATGGGAGAGGCAACTGATCGATGTTTTCCTCTCCGTCTCCCTTTCTCCCTCTCTTCCTCCCTCCCTCCCATTCTCTAAACATATCCTTGAGTGCGGTTTAAGGAAAAACAAACGAAAAGAAACAGACTCACAGATACAGAAAACAGACTGGCAGCTGTTAGAGGGAAGGGGAGTTGGGGGGCCAGGTGAAAAAGGTGAAGGGACTAAGCAAACAAATACTCACAGACAACAGTGTAGTGATGGCCAGAGGGGTGCGGGGGGGTAGAAGAGGGTAAAGGGTGACTAAGTGGTGACTGACTTTGGGTGGTAAACACGCAATACAATATACAGATGATGTATTACAGAATTGTACTCCTGAATCCTATATAATTGTATTACCCCAATAAATTCAATAAAAATTAAAAAAAATAAAATTTGTCATGATATTGAAAAAATCTTTCTGTATATCTAAATATGTGCGTGCACATGTGCGTGCACATGTGTGTGTGTGTGTGTGCGCGTTTCTAGTGTTTTTGTTTCTCTGGAGAACTCTAATACCAAGAGGTCGCTGGTTTAATTCCCGGTCAGGGCACACGCTCAGGTTGTGGGCCCAACCCCAGTGGGGGGCATGCAGGAGGCGGCCAATCAATGTTCTCTCTCCCTCTCCCCTCCGCTCTCTCTAAAATCAATAAAGGAAAAAAGAAAAAAAAGTGTTACTGTGACGAACTCCGGGCTCCTGCAGGCACAGCGCCGACTTGCTACGTGACTTTGGATCCATCAGGCAACCTCCCTGAGCCCAGGCCCAAGCTTAGCAGGGACGGTCCATGCTCAGGTTCTCGGTGAACCACAGTCAGGAAAGTTAATGGCTTCTATTGCCTGAGCACTCAGCACGGCAGCCAACACACTGGAGTATTTCGCGTGCGTTCCTGTTTAGTTCTCACGACACCTGTGGAATTTGAACGTTATGATCCCCATTTGGCAGATGAACAAATAAACCCTTGCGGAGATCAAGGCTTGCCCAGCATGAAATCAGGGCTGTCCCGTTTCTGTCTGACTATCCCCCGAAGGCGAGATGGCAAACATCACTGGTCCCAAGCAGACTACGGACTTTTCCCAAATCACCCCAAATGGATTTGGTACATGAAACAAAAGAAGCACTCACGATGTCCAGACCTTTTTTCCTTTGATAAAAAAAAATCATTACTTCTAGATACAACCTCTTATGGGAATCTACCAAAAGCTATGAGGTATGAGGCCTGAAGCTGGCGGGCAGTACAGTCCGAATTGGGTTGGGAGTGAAGGTGATTTCGCATTGCACCCACCTTGACACCCCAACACCTGGGCATCCCCGAGCTCCGCCCTGCCCCAGAGCAGGAGCTGGAGCGGAGAGCTGGCTCCCTTTCTGAGCCTTTTACCCCCAATTCCTGCCCTTGCTGATGAAATTGGAGAAGACAGAGGAGGGTGTGAAACACCAGCTTCTGGGTCAGAGGCTCACCTGGGTGAAGATCTGAACAGGGGTGGGAATTAAAATGGGACTCCCGCCATCAGCAACAAACAGAGTCTCTCACTGGGCAGCGCGCCCTCCACTGAACCCTCAGCCCCAATCCTCCTCCTCCCCCGCGCTCCACCTGAGGTCCTCCTGCTCTTGCCCTCAGGGTAGAGCAGTAACATGTCCTACTGCAGCTAGAGGCTACAAAGACTGGCCTCTTTCACGGAGGTCCTCCCACAGCCTTGGTTGCTGGAGAAGTCCCGGAGATGAGGGAGTCTCTCTCCAGGGCTCCGACGTGGACAGGAAGGTGAGGGGCTCAGCTTGGCCAGAAGCTCACGCTCAAGGGCAAAGGGCAAAGGGGAAGCAGGGGAAGACAGAACCTCTCCTTCCTGAGAGACCGGGCCACTCTCTGGGCGTTCTAGGACAATATCGCCCTGCAGTTCAGGTGGGTAAGCAGGAGGTGTCCTGGCCCCACCAGCTTCCCTCTGGCCACAGACAAACTCACCTGGCCCTGCCTGAATCCGAGCACCTAGCTGGGGCCTGCTGAGTAGGAAAGGGTCACAGGGCCTTCCCAGTTGTGACCGCTCACCGTCCCCCTGGTCCACCTAAGTCCCCTGCCAATGGAGAATGGACGTGCTGGGGAAGGTAGCACTGGGGACCTTGTCCACTGGGTCTCTGTCTCCCCATGCTATCTAGAGCAGCTCTGCTGGGTCCCTAGCTGCCTCCTCTCAGCCCCCAGAGTCTAAGGGGAGGGGGGACTCAGTCAACAGTCCCATAGCCCTGGCCTTCCCCAGCGGCCCAGCTATCTCAGTGGCCTCGCCAGTCCACAGCCGGAGACACAACAGGGCCTCCTTCTATCAGGAGAGGGGCGGGGGTGGGGGAAGAACAGGAGACTCCCTTTGAGCACCCACACCTCGCCCACCCTCTTGTCCTTCAGGGCGCCTGCTGTTGGGTCATTTCCGTCACTCATCACCCTCCAGGCCTGTGTGCTGACACCCCCAGCATATCCACGCACACCCCCTAACCTAACCTGGGGGCCAGGTTCTCCATCTGTTTCCCTCCACGACACACACGCAAACTCTTCACCCTCCCCCAATCAGGGCCAAAACGTGGGGGTGGGCAGCGCCCCTTCCAGGCGCAGGAAGGGGTGGCATCTCAGAGCCTGTGGCCCTCCTCTGGGGCCTCTCCCCAGGTGATCCTGCTGCAAGCTTCCCAGCTCCCCAGACCGAAAAGGAGAGGGGCAGCTTCTCCTCGGCGTGGGAGAGACCAGGGACAGCCGCTGTGCCCAGCACACTGCCCAGGAAAGGGAGGCAGGAGGCCTGGCTCTCAGAATCCAAGACGTCAGGGCCGCAAGGCCTGGGGCCACTTTATTGCCCTGTGCAGGGTGAGAAGAGGCCCAGATAAGGAAGGGCTTGCCCCAGATCACACTGACCTGGATCTCTAGTTCCTGGGCCCCGACGCTTCCCGGGGGCGCACAGAAACGACTCCAGAGGAAGTCGGGGGCGTTGGCTTGACGCTGGAGAAAGGGTCTGCCCCGCGCGGGGAGAGGACGTGAGGAAGGGGCGGTGGAGAGTCAGCGGGCCTGGGCACCCGGGGCGCGGAGGGGAGGCTGCAGGGGACTCGGAGGAGTTCCTGGGGGGCAGCCGGGCCGCTCTGGCTGCCGGGGAGAGGGGTCCTGCGCGCACTTGGGGGCGTCGCGTCCTCTCGCGCCCCGGTGGTGGGTCTGCAGGCCTGAGCGCGCTGGGGACCGGGCACCCAGACTCCCGGGCACCCGGAGAGGGAGGGCGCCTCACCTTCTTGAAGTCGGCAGTGAAGGAGATGAGGGTGCCGTCGGGCTTGCGCAGCTCCAGGCTGATGCTGTCGCGCTCGCCGTCCGCCTGCAGGCTCTCCTCCGCCACCTGGCCGTCGGGCAGCCGCACGCGCACCCGCAGCTCCGCCGGCGCCCCCAGCGCGCCCAGCAGCGGCCCCAGCAGCGCCAGCAGCGCCAGCAGCGCGCGGGGCGCCGTGGGGACCCCGCGGCCGCCGGCCGGGCGCATCCCCGTGGGCTGCCGCCGCCCCCCGCGGCCCCGGCGCGCAGCGGGCGGGCGGGACGGGCGCTGCCCAACTTCGCGCAAAGTTGGGAGAGTCGGGCGCAGGGCGGCGGGCTCCGCGCGGGCGGCCCCAGGCGCACGGCCCTCCCGGGATCCCGCAGCTCCCCCTCCGGGCTCCGAGGCTCCGTTCGCACTTTTCATTCAATCCCACCCCCCGTCACTTCCTTCGGAAAACAAACCTCCTCGACCTGCCTTAAAGAGACCGCGCACCTTTCAGCCCTTAAAGGGCCCGCGGAGGCCCCCGCGCGCGGCGGGGCCGGGGTCCGCGCAGGGCGGCTGGCGGCCGGGCTTTGTGCGCCGCTGCGTCCCGCGGGCGGGGCGGGTTCGGGGCAAATCCCTTCCTCCGGCAGGGCGGGCCGGCGGCCCTTTCCCCGCCCCACACCCGCTCTTTTTGGCTCCTTCTGGTGCCACGTGGATGAAATCATCGGGCTTGGTGTTTTAGGGGTTTTGTTTGGTCTTCCAGTCTCTTTGGCGAAGCGGATTTGCAGAACCGTGAAATCGGACCGCGCCAAGCTCCCAGGCTCGCACGGACCGGATCTGCAGGCGAGCTGAGCTTGCGACCCGTTCTGACATCCCTCAGGTGTGACATCCTGGGAGACAGGCACCTCTCCGGAGGCTCTCGGCCCCCCTTTCTTCGGTCTTGCCCCCTCTCCAGACCCCCATTCTCTGTAGCAGTCTGAGCAAATCCAGGGACACCTTAGGCCCCAGGCCAATCCACAGGATGGTCAGGGACTCAGGGCACTGGCGCTTGACCATCAGGGGCTCCCCACAAGCCCCAAGAAAACAGGCTGGCCCTGCCATGCACCCCAACAATGAATCTGGCGAAGGCAGCTTCCTCTGCTTGGCTGTGTGATTCACGTGCTTTTAAACATTCTTGGGGCCTAAGTATCACGCTGGGGTCAGATGCTGACATCCGTGGTGTCTTGCTAACCCCCCCCCCCCCCCAGAGGAAGCCCCAGGGGGCTGCCTCCGACCTCCTGTTCCCTGATGTCCATCTACTGTTTCTGTTTCTTCTCTGTGTCGATATTGCACTCAGAGACCTTGATTGTGGTGGCGAATACTCTCCTCCACGCTGCAGCCCGGTCCCTTCCAGATCTCCCCCAGCGCCGGGCTCTTATCTGCACCCCGATGACAACAGGTGCCCAGGCACACGGGTGTCATGTGGGCACCAGTAGCAGAGACAGAGGTCCCCTGAGCTGCAGGGTCAGAGTCAGGCCCAAACCCACCTCTTGCTACCAACTCAGGACTGTTCCTACTACACTTTGCCGCCTAAATAAATTTAGGACTGAAAGGGTGATCTAACTGGATGTTTTCTGAATTTGCCTTACCAAGAGAATCATCCAGATGCTTGTTAAAAAAAACAACCCAAAACCTGATCCCTAAATCTAACCAGTTAGACTCCCTAGTGGGAGGGGGGACGGGGAGGGCCCCTGAAAGTTTGTAACCAGAGGACCAGGTGATGCTTGATATAAAGGTTCCATAGTTGGTACCTGACTGAAGGTTGAAGATACAGAATATAAAACAAGCAGCATCTTTTCTGGAGAACCATCCTGGCCCCCTAAAGAGATTATGTTCCAAACTGTCAGAAAATAATGGATTAGCACTAAACAGTCCTTTGTCTCAGAGGGCCCCTACCCTGAGCTAGCAAGACGGAAGAGGAGAAACGCCTGGGGTCTGAAAACCAGCCCTTCTGCCGACAGGACACCCTGTCGTCCAGTCTTGGAGCTCGGTTTGCCCGTGCGAGTCCCCCCCCTAGTTACTGGGGCCTGTTTCAGGCCCTGTCCCCGCCTTCCATCAGCTCTGCCCCAGCCATATTCCCAGGTCCCTTCCCCCCCACACCAAGGGATCCCAGAAGAAGGAAGCGAAGAGCCCCAGGGTGTCTGGTGTCTTTGTGAGGTCTCTGAGGCTGTCTCTGTCGCTTTAAATTCCGGGTCTGGAGACAAGGCTAGGAGACCTCTCTGTTCACCACCTCCTCCTCCATCATCCACTTTCTCATTTAGTTAAACCACAAATCAAGTCGGTTTCCCTTTTCAGATAGAACATTTGAAGTCTGACTTCACTGTGTGAGCTCTACCTCTGTCCCTGTACCTCTGTCCCTGTACCTCTGTCCTTGCTCCTCTGTCCCTGTTCCTCTGTCCCTGCTCCTCTGTCCCTGCTCCTCTGTCCCTGCTCCTCTGTCCCTGCTCCTCTGTCCCTGTTCCTCTGTCCCTACTCCTCTGTCCCTGCTCCTCTGTCCCTGCTCCTCTGTCCCTGCTCCTCTGTCCCTGCTCCTCTGTCCCTGTACCTCTGTCCCTGTACCTCTGTCCTTGCTCCTCTGTCCCTGCTCCTCTGTCCCTGTACCTCTGTCCTTGCTCCTCTGTCCCTGCTCCTCTGTCCCTGCTCCTCTGTCCCTGTTCCTCTGTCCCTGCTCCTCTGTCCCTGCTCCTCTGTCCCTGCTCCTCTGTCCCTGTTCCTCTGTCCCTGCTCCTCTGTCCCTGCTCCTCTGTCCCTGCTCCTCTGTCCCTGCTCCTCTGTCCCTGCACCTCTGTCCCTGCTCCTCTGTCCCTGCTCCTCTGTCCCTGCTCCTCTGTCCCTGCACCTCTGTCCCTGCTCCTCTGTCCCTGCTCCTCTGTCCCTGTTCCTCTGTCCCTGCTCCTCTGTCCCTGCACCTCTGTCCCTGCTCCTCTGTCCCTGCTCCTCTGTCCCTGCTCCTCTGTCCCTGCTCCTCTGTCCCTGCTCCTTCCTTCTGATTCAGCCTGACCAGCCCTCAGGATTCAGGACAAAGCTCGGGTGTCCCAGGAAGACTTTCTCAGCTCTGCTCCGCGCGGGCTTCTCCTGCCTCTGGTCTCCAGCGACGATGGTAGCCACGACCATTCATTGTGTCCTTAATACGTTCCCGTCCCGTGCCAAGCACTGGACAGGTATTACCCTTTTAAACTTTTTCGCGGCGACCCTCCAAAGTAGATTCTATTCTTAGCGCCTCTTTACTGACTAGGAAACAGGGTTCAGAGAGGTGGAGGAAGAGCATGCCTGAGGCCAGCCATGGAGCAGAGCCGGCGGGGACTCACCACACCAGTCCATGGACCGCAGGGCTCGTGCGGGGACCCCAGGCACGGCTGCCTGTAGCCCTCGCTGCCTTCCAGCCCCCACACATCCTGTGTTATCTTCTGTGATCTAACGGTCTCGTGTGTGGCAATCTCGCACCCTGGTGAGGCTCCCAGGCAGTTCCAACAGGCCAGCCTCACGCTCCCCTAAACTGGCCAGGCGTACCACCTCTAGTCACCGTGACGTGACCCTCGGAGGAAGGGCCCTGCTGCAGCCCAATGGCCCTCACGGTCTACCGACAGGCTCTCTGCCACCCCGTAAACCAGCTTCCTCTCCTCTCCGATCTCTGGCCCTAGGAAGGGGCTGCAGGTAGTCATTCAAACCCCCGGCATCAGGATCTAATCCTGGAGCTTGACCCCTCGTGAGCCTGTCTCCCCATCTGTAAAATGGGCACATAAATGTGCTCACTGGGTTGTGTGGACAATTCAATAAAATACTGAGCACGAGACACTTCACGGCACATAGTAAATGCTCATCGTGAAGGCCCAGTAAGTGGTGTGATTATTACTTAATACTGTTCATTCTGTCTCTGTTTAATCAAGTACGAAGTCCTGTCCCCCTTCTCCCCTGGGAGACGTCCTTGAACGGCACACACACACACACACGCTCATCAGGGACATTTTTCTCTTTATTCTCGGTTAGTCATCCACAACTGGGGGGCGGGCAGCCCTTCGCTTTTCGGTCTCAGTGTGCCTCGAGTTGTCCGAAAGAGAGGTGACGCGTCCTCTCCCAGTCCGTGGCCGAGCGCCCCAGGGGAGTCGGAAGGGAGACCGGACCTGTGAACACCGTGAGGAGGTGGGCAGAAGGCGAGGGAAGCTGTCTTTGCACCGCGGGAAGATGTTTCTGTCTCTTTCTGTGACTGGCATTTGGCGCGGGCTCTGCTGCAGTCCTGTTCCGGAGCCCTCGCAGACAGGGCTGACCACTGGTGCTCTGTGTCCGAGAGGGTGCTGGGAATGGGGTAGGGCTGCCCTCCTCTGCCTCTTGAGGTCAACCGCAAGGCCGCAGCCCCTCTGCCTGAGCAGAAGTGCCCATTTATTTACAGCACCACGAGTCACTGAGTTCCGCCTGCCCAGGTGTGGTGGGCTGGACGGACAGTGTGCCTGGGTGGGAAGTCGAACAAGAAGAGACGCTGGCACACTTGGGAGAAAGCCACCCCCTTCCCCCCGTCAGAACACCAGGCTAAGGGGAGGCTGAGCTGGGGTTGGGCTGAACTCATGACTTTGAGGAAGGAAAAGGAAGCCCGGATGATCAGAACCGCAAGAGAAGATCCGTCGGACCTCATTCGCTCCAGGCCCATGGCTCTTGGAGAGTTTAAAGGTGCCCGTCTCCTTCTCCATCCCAGTCCTTCTAGGGGGCCTTCCCGCTCCCCTGCTGGGCATCCGTCCGTCCGTCATTCGTGGGCTCACTCTGTCAGTCACTGAGCAAGATGCCGCGGCCCCCGCAGTGGAAGGAGGCAGAGGTAACATTCCTTCTCCGAGGGGAGACCTACAGTTGCAAAGGAGCATTAAAAAAAAAAGTGCAAAAGCAAATATTTGTAATAGAGCTGTGATAACTGGCACCGCAGGAGATGCGAGCCCAGCCCAGCGAGCCTTGGAAGGCAGCCATGTCCAGACGCCTGGGGATGGATCAGCGAAGACAGCATTCCGGGCGAGGGAACAGCCTGAGCCTGCGTCTCGCTGACCACCGGGGGCACCACCAGAAGGGGAAGGTCTGGAATGACGCCGGAGAGCCCGGCAGGGCCAAGGAAGGCCGGGCCGGGCAGGAAACATTGGGACGTAGGTTTTGTTTCCTGGGCTGTCGTAAGAGCAAAGGTCAGTTGCTGGGAGCTGTTCCATGAGGGAGTGACATGCTCAGACTGTATTTCAGGAAGGTCCTGGTGGTGGTTGAGAAATCACGGTGGCTCGGCCCCTGGGGCAGCAGGGGTAATAGAGAGAGGGGCTG